ACACTTTTTTGGTAGATAATCTTTCTTCCCATGTTTCTTTTGCTATGTTCTCTCCAAATCCTTCATCGAAAACTAATATACAAGCTGTCTGGAATTGTGATACCTACACGATATAAAAAAAAAAACAACAAAAAAAAAACACACATACAAAATACGCAAATAGGAGGCATTTTAAAACACTCATTCTATGCGCCTTGTCCTTTCAGAACGATGGCGATAATGGCTCTCCACAACCTTCTGTCCTTTGTAGCTCTCAGTAAACATTTCTCTTTTCTATCTCACCCGCCAACCATTTACACAGGTTTGTTTCGTCTGTCTCTATTTTCTTCAAGATGTCGTAGTCGTCTAAAGTGCCGTAGATGATACACCAATAGGCGAATGGTTCGAAATTGGAGAGGTCCACGGTGCCGTGCCGTGTCTACCTCTTGTGCTTGTTAGAACCATTATACTAAGTTCGAAGAATCCATTATTTTATGTCGCCTCTTCTGTCGCCCGGTAGAGTAATGGATAGCGACTCGGATTGAGGAATCTGAGAGCCGAGTTCGAATTCCAGTCGAATCCATTACACTCACTCACGTGCTAATAGCCTTGGGAAACGTATGAATCCTCCTCTTCTCCGCACAGCATAGAATAGCAGGACAGACCTTGGATAGCAACTGGCCTACCGCAGAAAGAAATGGCAACCTACTGCTGGAAAAAAAAATGTGCCGTGTCAGTCATGTATCGCCTAACTGACTCTCGAAGTAGGCAGTGTAATTTCTTTCTTCTCCCGCCTTCTTTCGCCTCTCGAAGTCGGAGATGCAGGTTCTTAGACGATATGCTTGGGCAAGTTAGCCTGACGGAGTCCAAGCTGGTTTGAATTCAGAGTTTTCCTTCTACTAGACTAGTTGCCAACCAAGGCTATAGGGCCCAATTTGACCTGCTATTTTAGTCATAGCTTGGGGTAAGAGATGGATTCATACATTTCTCAAGGGTATTTGCACGTAATCAACTGGTATTAGAACTCGGCTCTCCAATTTCTCAATCCTAGCCTCTATCCATTACTCTACCGTACCTCCACAATGTCCTGTAAGTGTCAAATTTTCTAAACAGTCTTTCCTCATTATGGGCCCTAGAAATATCAACTGTTTCTTTATGTTTAGTATAAACCTTCTTTTGTGCTTCTATTTTCTCTAAAACCTCATCGTTGCTCACATGTTCAGTCCATAGTATTCTCAGGATCCATCCACAGAACCATAATTCTGTCGATTCAAGTCACTTCTTCATCTGTGAAGAGATTGTCAAGCATTCACAGCCATATAAGAGGGACTGATATTAATTAAAAGTTCCACACACTTATCTTTACTTCCAACAAAATGTTCCTGTTTGTGAGTGAAATTGAGAGGACAAAATACTCGAGGCCCGTCGATAGCAGAGACCAAGGGATTGAGTGTGCTGGCCTTGTTCAGATTGTTGATCACGCTAGATAACACGTTCTCTCCCAGAAACTGTAACTAAGGTCTGCTCCGCACAGTTGCAGTATAAACCACAGGTGGACTCTGTGGATGTTGAGCAAACACAAATGTGCCCGAGCGAGCATCTGCAATAGGGATTGCATAGACGGGTATCCTCGAATACGAGTGGCCAGCTATTATATATATATATATATATATATATATATATATATATATATATATATATATATATATATATATAACCAAATATGACGATTTGAAACAAAAACTTTTATGCCGATAGATTTCGCGCCTATTAAGCAGTGTCATTAAAAAAAAAAAAATTCTAATATATTTACTATCCCGTCGGATACTTACCCCAAGTTAAATCATATATAATAAAATATAAGTAAGATTATATTTTTATGGATAAAAGTTCTCAACATCCGGGTAGAGCGTGTTTAAACATGAGAGTGGACACTGGGGTCATCACGGAGTGGCGACATTCTGTTTCATGCTTGACCGCAATTTTCAGGTCTGAAGATTACGTTCATCTAGGAAACGGACGGTTGGTCTCCAATGTGTTGATAGTATAACGGTTATCGTAACAAAATAGAATCAGCAGGCCGAGTACACATCCCAGTCGTCTGTGCTTCGCTCATTTCGTAAAATGGCCTGAATCCACCTTCCTCTAACTATGGATTAAATAACAGCACAGACTGGGATTTATTGCCTTTGATCATCTGGGAGAAGGAAAACTTTGAATTCAGACCTGAAGAGGGCTGTTCAAGGACTTCTTTTCTCAAGAATGCAATAACCAAGATTCGGAAAATCATTTAATGGTAAAATAATTAAAAAAAAAGTACCGAAATTAATGAACGTAGTGGTCGTAATAATCTCCGGAGTGTCAGAAGATGTTCTGGAAAATAATAATAATAACAATAATAATAATAATAATAAAAATAACCCCACCCTCATAAGGTCTTTTTGGAACATAAGAGAATGCGATAATAGCAGTAGACGTTTTCCCCACTTTTAAAGTGTGCCTTTGAAGCCTACTTTCCTGTTCTTCATGTATCTAATCTTTGCACCCTGGTTTTGTTGTGACTATCACGAACGCCTTCCGTTCAAGTCCGACATAATATCTCACTCTCTCTACCATAACGGCGAAAATTCAAATAACAGATTTTTTTAAAAAATGCCTAGAGAAATAAGTAGTAATATTGAATTAAGATTTTTTTCCGTTTTGATACGAGAGAAACTCTAATCCCGTCTTTAACTTCTTCGCTGAAGGGAAAAAAATATCTGCAATAAAATATGAGAACAGTTCAGAAACTAAACAAAAAAAAAAAAGGAAGAAATGGAAAAAAAAATGAAGACAGACTCTAGCCACAAATTAAAAATTAAATAAATAAATGCTTTTACGAATCTGCCTTCGTCTAAAGGTTATTTCTGAAATTTACAAAAGGGAGTTAAGCCCGAAGAGAAATTATAAAATTTTGCTACACATTACGTTATTTTTTCTTCATCTCCTCTGTCCGTGTTCTTCTCCTTCCCAGCATTCTTCTTCGTCTTATCCACCCTGACGTAAAAAACATCGGGCAGAGAAAGTTTAAATGAAATTCAAACAGCGGAAAAGAGAAAAGAGCTGGCAGATACAACCAGTTAGCGCAAAATCGTACAAACAGGATTACAATGGTGGCTGGGTTAGCCGTCTATCTTCTTTCAGAGCTAGCAGCCAATGTTCGAGCCCAAGTAAGAAGCGAGAATTTCGAACGCTCATTTTTTTTTTTTTTTCAAGAAGATGCGCAGGTAACATAACAGTTATTGGCTCCGAAACGCTGTGAATATTCCAACTAAGATTAGAACGATATAACATGTTTGGTTCCAGTGTGTGGAAAATGCGCTAATTCGGACATTGGATCTGTAAGATTCCACCACCCACCCACCAATTGGAAATTTTATCTCCAAGATAAAAAAAAAAAATAACCTGTACAGTGGTTAAACATCCACAACTCTTATGGTTGCTTTTTAGTTGAAGCATTTTCACTATCATTAATTTTACTTCATCTCCCTCGTTACACTCAAGTGCGGTTAAGAGTTTTGTGCTTTCGGTAGGGGCGTGAACAGAAGACTGTGTTTCTCCTACTTGTTAGTATGCCCAATGATGTATATCGGCTAAACATCACAAAAGAGAAAAACGAAAAAAAATAAACAAAACAAAAAGAACATTGCAAGGACATGCTACATAACAACACTTTAAACGCACTGGTAGTTCACCGTAATACATCTGAGCACAATCTCAACTGCCAGTCTGATCAGAGGGTAAACGGATTCACTAAGAGAATGAGCTAATGTCACAATTCCCGACAATGCACCTAAGACTAGGACCATACATAATATCCCTGACTATCCGAAGAGTAATAATAACATAATGAGACAAGAGAGAAAAACAGATTTTCTTGGGTGAACTGATTTAAAATCCAACAGACATCAACGTCTCTTATATATATATATATATATATATATATATATATATATATATATATATATGCGTGTGTGTGTGTGTGCGTGTATGTATATTATACATGCGAGGTACTTATTGAAAGCGCTCAATATCAGTGATAGAGCTGACATTCAGTTGTATGGTTCAATTTTGTAACCTGGGTTTTCACGCTTTTGCGATCAGAGAAATCGATTTTGTCTGCTGATCGCAAATACGTGAAACCCAGGGTTACAAACTCGTATACATATAGCTGAATATATATATATATATATATATATATATATATATATACACACACACACACACACACACACACACACACACAAGATTCTTATAAAAAATTATTAGTTATTACTATAAACTGTATCTAGTGGGTACACGTGTTTCAGTTGCTATCCTTGTCTTTTTTTTTACATTTTTATTTTAGCAAACAGTGAAATTAATAACAACCAACCTAAATCGAGAAGTCCTAATAAAAGGAAAAATTGTGCCGGTATCCCTTTTTTTTCTATCAGGGAAACCTATTATTGAACCAAAGTTCTAACAGTTCGACCACAGAGACGAACCTGGCAGGCCAAGGTTTGAATAATCTATTTAACGAAAACACGTTTCTCGCTGGGACGTCTACGAATCTATAAGAGTTAGCTTCAGTTTCGTACCCGAAAATTAACAGTTGATTTTATATTTTATTCAACTGAAATTAATAACAACCAACCTACATTTAGAAATCTGACTAAAGAACTACCAACTCAAAAAACGCGCCCACTAAAAATGTTCTTTTATTGATTGATTGATTCGTTTTCTACGGTTTATCAACCCTTTGCAGGTTATTTAAAGCCAGAAAAAAATTTTACGTTGTAAGATATTTTGGAGATAATGATTTAGTGATACAAGTCTTAATAATTAACCCATAGATGGGGGGTGAATAGATAGACTCGTACCTTTCCCAAAGGTATTTGTGCGTAACTGAATATAGCAAATCCAACTAGAATTGGAACCCGGCTCTCCGATTAACAATTCCGAGTCATTATCTATTACACCACCCGCACATCCAAACTTAAGGCACCTGGTATTCCCAAGCGATCACCCATCTAGGTGTTGGCCAGGCTCGACATTGCTCAACTTCGGTGATCGTACAGAAACTGGTGTTTCATTATTATATGGCCGTAAGCCGCTACTAAAATAACGTTTAGAGTATTAAGAAATACACATTCACACACACACACGTGTGTATGTTTTGCTTTCACTGACACTTTTATATACTCGTCTAGCTGATAACTTTTCAGCACCACCTCGTATGTATGTCCTTCTCTTATATCTGACATCTTTTACTTTTATAATGTCAAATCTTATTAATTGAGCTGTCTCATTTTATCTTTTTTAAAAGCTGTCCTCATCTCGAAAGCAATTTCCAACACGCTTCTCGGCCTTAACAGCTTTATATTCCTCTCAATTTACACCTCATCCACTTATTGATCTCTTTCAATAATGCTCGATCTTTGATAGAGATGAGTTTGCCCGCGGCCATTTTAAACATCAATATTTTCTCTCTATTCTGGTAGAATTTTGAAACAATATTAATATTCTATCCGTTATTAATATTTGTGCATTATTTGAAGCAAATATTACGACTAGCAGCTTAGATTCACTATATTATATAGAAATGTAGAAATAGGGAGATTTTATTTTAAGTGGCTTCTTCAACAAATCCAAAAAAAGAAATAAAATTTAAGAGAAAAAAAAAATCCAAAACTGCTGGAAAGCTACTCTTAAATGTTCCTTCAGTTTCCATTTGGTGAGATGATCCATGACAAGTTATTTTCAAAAAGGCAGATGCTTAAAAAAAAAATGGTTGCCCTGTTTGTGGAAAACCCGGGAAAAACAGCTGTTGACGGCTTCAGCAGAGGTAAATATTATTTTAAAATCTCTTGTGTAATTAGAAAAGGGAGAGATTTTTTTTTTATTTATCCTTAGAAAAGATGGCAAGGAAGGAAGTACGGAAATAAATTACAGAAAGATAGTCAAGTACATAGAGACAAACAGACGCGTAGGCCCGACACGATAGCATGAAATGGCCAGAAAACGAAGGGTCACACGAAAGCACTGTGACCCCAGCATGCATGGACAGTAATACTAGAAGACTCTTCCACTACAAAAGAACTTAAACAGCATTAAAAAATAAAATTAAAGCTAAAACTATAGGTGCAGAAAAATTTAGATAAACAAATTACAAAAAAATAATACTGAAGAAAAAAAAAACAATTAAAGAAAAAACAGTTATTCAGAAGGAAAAATTTAACTGGAAAATTTTCAGTGAAAACATTAAGAGCTACAAGGAACAGGAAGATATGGAGGGCCATGATCGCCTACGTCCTCAAGTAAGTATAAGAAGTGATCGATTGGCATTAGAAATGGAATAAAACCAATCGATACAGAAAAGGGTCTTAACCGTTCCTGAAACAGACTCGGAAGAACTGAATATCGTCAGGTAGGAACAGATGGAATTAATGTGGTAGATGTGGACAAAGGTTGATTGATGTATCTAAAAATATTACTTTGAGGTTTCTGGAGGTTTCTCTGATGTACATCAATGGGAATTTTGTACTCCTGCTTCTGCTCTGTTATTGTTGCTATCTCGTCTGAGGTTAACTAATCCGAAAAACTTGTTTTGGAAGTGGTGTCGATGAATTTTATGTCAAGGCTGATCTCATTTTCTGTTAGTTTTAGAGTTGTTTTTCTACTTGTAGTATTTTAATATGGCGTAGAATACTGTAGTAATTCCAATTTTTCAGTACCGAAAATAAATTGCTATAGGGACCACTAAAATGCCGTGGATCCCTAATTTGATATTTTTGTAGGGACTAATCTAAACAAACAAAAAAAAAAAACACTAAAGTAATCGAATTTATTTTTCCAGGTTTTCAGATGTTCAGCTATCTTGACACCACTTGTCGTAAGAATCACTGAAAAACCTTTTTTAGTTATTCAACTAGAAAGAGAACAGATTGAAACCGTTTTGGGTCAGTCCAACTGACTTCCCAAATGAGCAATGTTGAAAGGAAAAGATCATTCAGGCCTTCAGTAATGATATACCCTGGTCTCCATCTTAAAAGTCCATTCAAGAAGCATCAAATGAACGGTGAATAAGTATAAAAAAGAGTGATCAGCAGAGCGGAAAACAATATCAGGTGGTCACAACAGGAAGAGGGATCATCGTTTCAGCTTAAAGCTAAAGAGATCAATTAGAAAAGACCCAACTCAATCCATAAGACGTTTGGCACGTGAGAGAGGAGTTTCACCTATGACAGTACAAAGAACAGTAAAAAAAAAAAAAAAAAAAAGACTTGAAACTGAAATGGTACGTGAAAAATGTGCGGCACCTTGTTACGCTAGGACAGAAAGTTAGGTTAGAGAGGGCGAAGATTAACTTGAATAAGTTGGAAAATAATCCTGTAATAATAATTACAGGATTATACATATATATATATATATATATATATATATATATATATATATATATATATTTGAACTTAGTTTTGATCCTTCGCGAGATTCCGATCCTTAGCTATGATTAATTCATGATGAACATGTCATTTTCGTTTATGATCGATTTCATCACGATTCTTAAGTTAATTATACATTCTTATTACTCAAGGTAGAGCCCAGTAGTGTTATAAAAACCTCGGGAAATTCCAGTAAGTTATCTCTAATAATTTCTAAGTTACAACGTTTCAAAACTTAATCTAACGATTGGGACAATTTTGCTGGTACATCCGGTGTGTGTGTATATATATATATATATTATATATATAATGATCATTGATCAAAAATATTGGTAGGGAAGATTTAAAATATGGATGGAACCATGCAGACTTATATAAGCTAAAATACATTTCGTGTGTAGTTGTATATGAGTCGAGGATAATGGTATTTAATTTTTTTTTATATCATGACGTATGACAAAGCGGAAAATTTTTCGTGTCAGGTGTTTCGTCCTTTCGTCTGATGAAGTCCTAAAGGACGAAACATGTCATACCTCTACTAACTTATATTTAGTTCATCTTGTGTGCAAATTTCAAATGAGGCAAATAGATCTATTTCTTTTTTTTAAGTATCAGTGTAAATGAGTTTACAAGTATAAAACTGGTCACAAATCTTGCCGATAAATTAACGAGACTATTAGTGCTTCCATGCGATCTTTACATGCACTTGAAATCCTATTTATTTAAAAACCTATTTGGATTTAAAGCCAATTGTTTCTTAATCTAATCATTTTAAATATAAAGAACCTTATGTTTTGTTTTTTTAAAAAAAGGTGGGACAAAACATCTCGACAGTGTTATGTTTCAAACAACTCTAATTATTTAGAGAAATTAACAACTAGTATTAGTGACGGATATTTTCTAAGGACATACGTGTTCAAGTAGGTTTTAAAAAGGGTTGTTTTAAAAATTTAAGTGAAAGCAAACGTAATAAAGTGAAAATTATAATTACTAAATTATACTTGTTAGCATTGTACTAAAATCTTTAGTCATGCAAATGGTGTAGTCTTTTTTTAACTTTCAATATTTATTTATATACTTTCTCTGAACTCACAGCGCGTGTCTAATGTGATTTATTCTTCCAAAATATGCGGTAAAACAAAAATAAAATTAAAAAAAAAAAACATTGCGTAAGTCTTTAATACTGGTATTTTGAAAATGTAAATAAAATGCTGCCAAAGATTGAGTCATCAGATCTTGAGAGGGAAAGTTAAGTTTCCTTGATGGTCTAGTTGAATGTTTTTATCTAATTTTATTTTACTGCTAGTTTTCGTGCGTTCGTCTCTAACATATTTATTAGTGGGAGGCAGCTGCGTCCCCTCTGTCATCAGGTGGGCTTCACCATCCGAAAGTTTGAATTGGAACCCATCCACCGAGGAGAACGAGATCATACTGTACCGAATTTTCTTTCAGATAGTAAGTAGAAGTACATTACCTCGAGTTGGGATGAAACCTAAATTTCTGGTGTTAATGAAGGGCTAAGTGGCTTTTGCTTTAAAAAAGAAAAAGTCTAGTACACCGAAAGTATATTTGGTGGGTGGAGAGAAAAACAAGAGGAGGGGCCAGACCAGATCAAGTTATATATAAGTTCTTTACGTTATCTTTTCATAGTTACTGTTTTGTTTAATTTACTTGTCTTGCTAACTGCCCGATGGTGAAGAGCAGGGCCGGTGCAAGGGTTTCGGGCCCCCACTGAATCTATGATATGGTCCCCAACTCTACTACATCTCAATTTTCATAAGATAGAATTTATATAAAATACTAATTTTTCTTGTAATCTAATTATGTACACTAAAAATTATATGCAATATAGGTGAACAATTCAACTAGAAAAATTGAAAATAAATACAATGTATATAAATACAAATTAGAGAACTGTCATAATATATTCTATCAGCAATTTCTAAAATCAGTTTAGAGCACTCTGTAAAGGTCGAATTCACTACAGTAGTATTAATCTGCCTCCCGGTGTGGTACCTTTATATTTGGTCAGAGCCGATCCAAGGGTCTCGTGTCCCCACCCTGAATCTATGATACGAAGCACCTCACTATTCCATCTCAATTTTCATAAGGTTGTATTCATTCATATATAATATGGAGCACTCTGTAAAGGCCAAATTCACTACAGGAGTTTTAATCTGCCTCGCGGTGTGGCACCTTTAAATTTGGTCAGGGCCGATCCAAGAGTCTCGTGCCGCCACCCCGAATCTGTGATACTAAGACCCCCCCCCACTTTATCTCAATTTCGAGAAGGTAGTATTTATATAAAATACAAATTTTATTGTAACCTAATTATGTACACTAATGAATTATATGCAATATAGGTAAACAGTCCAACTAGAAAAATTGAAAATAGATACAACTACTCTAAATACAAATTAGAGACATGTCATAATAGATCATTCCATCTTAAATAAATCAAAAATGGTTTACGGCAATTTTTAACATAATCTTGAGATTTTTCTTGTTAAAAAGTTGAATAACTTAACACATTCAAAGTTATGGATAAAAAAAAGTGAATTTTAATGGGGTTTTTTCCGAAAATTAGCATGAGCAAAAAAAAATTCACGGATTTGAACGACAAAAATAGTGACCGCAGAATGACTTCAAAATCCGCAAAAAGTTTTCCTCTTAACAACCAGTTGTGCTTAGTTTAGTTTGCAACGTATATCAATATTTATCGTAAATACCAAATGTTGATAAGATAGCGAGGGTCCCAAAGCATTGACCGTCCACCGCCACCAGTCAGGGAGTAGTATGCACCGGCCCTGTTGAAGAGCTAGTTCGTTATTGAAATAAGACGATTTAGCACAGCTATAAGTTTTTCTTTTTTTTTTTCAAAGCTATATAAAATTTCAGAAAATGTTATACAGTGATCCCTCGGTTTAAGTCGTTTCGAGTTAAGACATTTCCGAAGATAAGTCAGTTTTTCTTAAATATTATATAGAAAAATAAAACTCGCCTTAGGTCGTTTTATTAGAGTTTACGCTGGCTGTTAAAAATATTAGAAACCTCAGACACTAAAATAACAATAAACATATAAACTCATTTAAATAAATTTGAAAATAATAAGTGTGTGCGTGTGTGTGTGTGTGTGTGTATCTCATAAAATCATCAAAAACAAAAAATAGCATAATAAAGTATGTTCAGCAGATGTTCTTATTTCAAGTTCCTGCCGACAGGCGGCACTCATGCGTTGTTTTCCGCTTCAACACCTATTTAGAATTCAGACTTGTTTATATCTCTCCTCTGCCGTTGACTGTCTTTTAATTACATTTCAGTTGTGATTTAGAATACATTTTTGTCCATATCTCCGAAGAAAAGTCCCATTGCAAGTGCTAATGCTAAGTGTAACGCTATATCGCTGGAACATAAGGGGGAATTTTTTTTTTTTTATTCAAAATACTCTACTTACATATCATAAATACCGTAATCGACAAAGGGAAGTGTTTACTTGCGGTTTATAGAGTGGTTATTTCGACTTAAGTCGTGACCTCTGGGACCAATTAACGACGTAGTATTTATGACGATATGAGTGTATGTTTTGGTTTAACGCCATTCCTGGAAACCTAGTGTATAAGAAGTTTGCAACGCTATAAGGCAACTATAACAGAGATTCCCGATTCTTTGTCCGTCAAGCATTACGTATCACTTTGCATGCGCGTCTGTAATCTACATGCTATTGTCTGTGGGACGCATGACTGACTTATGTGCGTGTGTTATTTGTAATGTACACACGAGCACATAAAATTTAACAGTATTGTAGCAATAGATTCCTTCTCCCAAGATGTTTGGACAGTCCATATATTGGGCAGAGCAATAATATCAAATATGGAAACAGAAAAGAAATGTTAATTTTTTAAAACCCTAACAAAACATAATCATAATTTTTTTTAACATTTCGGAAATTATTCGATAATAAAAGTTTTATATTTATAATTTAATAGGAGTAAGTAGGTTCGCCGATCGCCCGATTAACACTCCGCTTCAGCCTTTTAAATTGGAGTAGTGGTTTATACCTTGTTGCCTGTTTAGGATTGGGGTTCCGGTTCCTTCTAAAGCGTCCTTCAGTTCTATACACATAACGCTTGTTCTTTCCTACGCTAATATAAATCCACGCAGTAACCCTCTACCTTGAGTTGTTCTTAGGCCTTGTTCTGGTTGAAAATTAGCAAAATAAATAAATAAATAAAAATAATATTTAGCGATTGGGTTTCCGGTTCCTATAAAGTTTTTTTTTTAATCTAAGTAGACGCTTGCATCGTAGTGGCATTATCGCCTTCCTTGCGGTAAATTGATTAAAAACAAAATTTTTTTAGAAATATTTTCAGGTTTGTCTATGAATTAAAATATACGTGAGCAAACTTAAATATATACACACAATTTGAACAAGACTGATACGGACATCTGTGTCGCAAGGGCCTATTTCCTTTTTTGTTCTTAAGTAAAAGGAAAAGACTTTATTCCAAAATGTGGAAGCCTTTGAAGTCATTTTTATGAATCCTGTATTTAATCTGAATATGTTATCTAATAGTTATAGTATTTTAAATAAACAAATAATTTAGATTTAAATTTGATCATCATGCCGTTAGAGAAGCAACTGATACCGAACTAGTGATTTTATTTCTATTAATTTTTATGGTTATATTTGCTATCAACGGAAACTTTAAAGTCAGCAAGGTTTATATATATATATATATATATATATATATATATATATATATATATATATATATATATATATATATATATATATATATATAAAATGTGTGTGTGTGAGTGTAAACTTTCTTTTTAAGATAGCGGTTGATAATTGCAGTGACTAACACACAGATACAAAACGCACTTTTTTTTTTCTTTTCATGAACCTACCAATTGAGGGAGGGTGGATATGTCAAAATAGAAAAAAAGAAAGACTTAAGAGACTATCACATATGCACGAGGGGTAAAGACTACAGTTTGTGGGTAGGGATATGGCACCCATGGTGTGAGATAGTTTATTTACATAGGCCTCGTAGACCCCATACAGACATGATGAAAGCTCAGAAGAAATCTTAGCTTAGCTTTAGTTTCTCAAGTATAGAGTAATAATTAGCCGACTGTTTTACGCACAATATATATATATATATATATATATATATATATACACACACACTAGCCGAATTACCCATGCCTTGCTGCGTGTCACAGTTTTTTTGTAAGAAAAAGATGATTGCTTTTAAACCCTTGTTATAATTTGTGGAGAAAAATTAGGCATTTCAATATATACTTAATACTTGCCGATGTGACCTCCATCTTCTGGCTTTCGCCTTCTATATTTGGAATAAGAGTCATTCTCTTGTTCAAATTTAATTTAAATCAAAGATAAAAATAATTCAGTCGGGGGATTGTGCGCCCGGGTACACCATTTGATCAAAATGAAACAGACTTATCCAAGTACCCTGGGTAATGTAGTCTCAGAATATATATGGTTATGGGGGGCGATCTCCAAAACCCTAAGGTGAGTTCGATAACAAATAGACAGAGACGACAACTCACACTCTCTCTTATACACACACACACACACACACACACACACACACACATACACATACATATATAATTAGATCATGTCATGGTTGGCTAGGAATGCAACAGGTTATTACTGTTACACTCATAGCCAACATCGCATAATTGTGCATCTTACTCTTACGTCACGTTGAATCACCGGTTCCCGTACGAAGTTAAGCAATGTCGAGCCTGGTCAGTACCTAGACGAGTGACCGTTTGGAAATACCAGGTGCTGTAAGATTCGATGTGTTGGTGGTGTAATGGATAATGGCTCTGAATTTTTCATCAGAGAAATGCATTTGGATTCATTATATTCACTTACGTTCAAATACCCTTGAGAAAGATATGAGTACACCTTTGCTCCTCCAGCTAGGGTTTAATTAGTAAGACTTGTACTAAAACCGTTATTATCTAAAAATAAATAAAACTGCGTACAAAATATTTAAATTTCGGCATTAATAACCCATGGAGGTGTTGATATGCCGCTAAACAAAATAATCGACCAACAATCTACTGCTAATGGCTGTTGGACCTTGTAAAGAGTGAACACCACTGGGAAAAAAAAAGAAAAAGCAAAAAAGTAATAATAAAGATGATATATATCTTGATTTTACTCATAATTTCTTTTATTTAAGCTCATATTTCGGGGTAAGAAACTTTATTTTGAACATTAACGGCAGTAATGCTTTTAGACAAATGTAAAGCTTAGCTGATTAGCATTGTTATATATAGAAGATATATTTAGCTTTCTGTTTATTTCAAGCAAAGAGTAGTAAGGCTGACACCCCACCCACTACAGAGCCATTGATGACAAAAGATTATCACTGAATTATTTAATTAAATATATTTTACGCCATCTACAAAATATCTGGAATTCGTTAAAATTCAATAAAGTTTTCATGTCAAACGTTACCGTATTTGATGGTATTTTAAGCTTCTGACACCATTTCCTTAAGATTTATTACAATTCTCTTTCTCGGGGCACAAAGATTTTGAGAGAAAAATCTCCATTTATAGAATAGTTTTTTTTTGTTTTATTTAATCATTTCACACCCAAGTAAGGCGATAATACCACTAAGACGCAAGGGTGGGGGAAGTTACTGAATGAAATAGATCGAGAAGACGTAGTGAGGAGAAAGGACTATAAAAAGACAGGTATCAAGGAAGACAGAAGATGGCGATTGACGTAGCTTTCTAATCGTTGAAGAACGTGGGTAGCAGGGAAGCAAGAAACCGGAAGAGGGTTTCACAGACGAGAAGTGCGAGAAAAGGAACCATTAGAAGAAAACTGACGTTTACATTTAGCTGTTTAAGCAGTAAAACGATGAGACCTAATTACCAATCTAGTCATGCGTTTAAATCCATGCGGCTGAAGTACCAGTCATTAGAAGAAGTGTCATGAAAATATTTATAGAAAACTAGCTTAAAAGCCGTCCTAACGGAGGGCTTATGATTGGGCCTTCATCACAATAGGTAGGGGGGTGTTGGATGCGACAGGCAACAATAAACTACAGAAGAACTCTAAATTGATCTCTGCATTTAAATACTGCATTAATATTTAAGCTTACCTTTTAAAAAGTTCAATGATAATTCTTCTGTTGGCACTTAATTTAAAGACAGTTTGATGTACGTAGGTTCTTACTTTCCGTACAAACAATTATTTTTTATTTCATGAGCGACTTTCGCTGGATTTCGCAATTAATTTCGATTATTCCCACGTTATAAAAATTGTTATCGTACAATAAATAAATAAAAAAATCGTCACAAAAAATCATGTTTAAAAAAAAAAAAAAAAAAAAAAAAAAAAAAATCACCGAAAACAATCGCAATAATGAAAACTTGGGAATCTAAAATTTCAGGATTGCAGGTCAGATTCCGGCTCGGAAAGTTTTTCATTTTCTCATGGAGTCGGCCTGATTCCAAAATGGTATGATATGTTGGGCTACAGCATCTAGGAGTAAAAACACGGACAACTTTATTTTGAAATGTGCTATTGAAAGTTAAGGAGTTGTGCCTCTTTAAGCTGAAAAGTGTGACACAGTGACACACTGACATTCGAATTATAATATAGAAGAAACAGAGAAGTCAGGTGACGGCGGTGGGAATGTGACAAACAGAGATGCCAGGTGAGGACCGATAACATTGCAGATCCTTCATTGGAAATTTTTTTTATTTATTTTAACAGTTGTTGATTTTCCGACCGTCTAAGAAATATTTACATTACATTCACGTTTTATTGAGCCTTATAGACAGACTAGTTTTCATTTAAATTATAACGAGAGGTTAACGGCACAGATAACGGAGTTAGAGAGCAGAGTTCAAATTCAGGGCATGTTGTCTTTTGCGTTCACTTTCACTTGATGAAGGCTCAACCACTCTCAAAAGAAGGAAAATTCTGAATTCAAAACCACCGAGAAGGCAACGGAAACCACTCCCCATTTGTGGCATAATTGCATATCAGACATTGCATTCGAATTTCACAGCCGTCGAAGGAAAGTAGGCGCAAAGTCGAATTAGGGTTACTCCCCGCCACCGAATGCAGTAATACGTGACCTCACACCTGGATTCAGTATTACAAGCACGATAACCGCCCATAGTCTCTCACAGACACCGTATGTCGAGAATACAAGGACGATGAACCGGATTCTACAGACTGGCTGAGAGTAACAGACGGAATATTGGAATGAATAAAATATTAAATAATGATGGTTCAAGTCTAGTGTTGTCATTTAACCAGCACCATAACATTATGACACTATCTTCAAGGCAGTTTACGCATAATAATTTCTGGAGAGAATTCACATAAAAATAGTTACGTTTTGAAGAGACATGGCATTAAAACAAAAAAAAAAAAAAAAAAAAAAAAGAGTAAATATGCAGTTGTATTCAATTCAAATATGCTATTTTAAAGAAATGACTTCGTTATCTTCGGTAAGGGAAGCGTATTCATCAAGACCAGCAATATTCAGCACAATGTCTTGTCAGCGAATACACTATAGTGATCGAATGGCTTGTGTGGCGAGCATTTTTAACTCCTACTCTACTGTGTGTTCCTTCGAGTTTAGAGTACAAGGCAGAGGTTCTTCTTCGATTATTGTCTCAGTGAATATTGTATTGAAAAAAGAAAAGGTTATTCAGAACTATAAAAGCCGGTATTTTAAAGCCCGCTTGTTGTGTGTCCGGAGTGTTACAGAGTAAATCAAAATTCACTATTCATGATAAAGTCACAAGCCTCGGGGTTTACGCACTAAAAGAAGATCAACTATCAGTTAAAGTGTTTCAGATAGGGAGTGGGTATTAACGTATAATATTAACACAAACACACACACACATATATATATATATATATATATATATATATATATATATATAGATATGAAAAGGAAAGGGACGGATTTTTTTTTTATTAATTCGACAGATTTTTAATTCTTAAATGCTGTTTTTTTAGCAGATACTCAGATCTTAGTAGACGCTCCATTTATTTGTCAAACAGTATATTTATTTTCGTCTACCGGCCTGAATATTCGAAACGTCTTTAGAGAAAAATATGCGATTTCCGGCAGGATTCGGAGCTGTGTCCTCCTAGGGGAAATATATATATATATATATATATATATATATATATACGCGCGCGTCACATACAGGGTCGGTGTATATTACCCCCCCCCCACACACACACAGAACACCCAGATGGTGGTGGTGTCGAGCCTTGTTGTGAGCCCTATTTACGATGTTATTTTTCTACCTGCATGTATGTATTATGAATTAAACTAAACAACTATTAAAGGATGAAAAATTCTCGCGGCTTTTGACGTAACACGGCATCTTTTTTTTTTTTTTTTTTTGGTCATTTGTAAAATTTTAAAATGGCTATAAGAGCTCGTTCGCAAGCATTTTTATTTAAAAAAAAAAAAAAAAATCACCATCACAACGGAATGCAGATTTTATAGCACTTCCAATAAGCTTGCCTATGTAATGTACCGCTGAAGATGATATTGGAAAATACTTGGGTTAGAAAAACTATGGCGCCTTCCTTGATGAATTTCATCTTAACACACACACACTATATATATATATATATATATATATATATATATATATATATATATATTTGCTCGAAAATAAACTTGATCTCATTTGACCTGTATTAAAATTTGAAATGTAATTTTCGTTTTTCCTCAGATGATTTGAAAACGAACAGGCGATAAAGAAATTACATCCTACCTTAAATTTGTGAGAAAATAGAGTACACTGTTCTTAACTCACTATCTTATTTTCCCTAAAAAAAAAAATCCCTTTAAAAGCAACAAGAATCCAAATGAATTATTTATTCACAAAAATTACAATGGAATAATGAGACACGCCTAGTCGTCTGTGTATGGACACAGGGTTTTGCGTGCGTGAGAATATTAGAATCAACTTTAACAGAATGACATTAAAATCTTCGTTTTTACAACAGGTACGGAATGTGAATTATTCAGGACGTCTTTTTATACGATACAATATCCCCGCTTCAGAAATACGTTCTAGACAACAAATACATTAAAAGAAATAACATTTTTGCCAGAAATCACTCTGGACAAAGTAGTAAAAGAAATCGAAAATAAAGGATTATCAATTGTAAGAAGAGAGTTTATGATTGTTAGCAAATGGGGTTAACCCAAGAGGCTTGTTACGATCTGAAGATGTCAAAATCAAGCAAGTACTGTCTGAGAAGTTGTTTTAACAGGCGACAGAAAATGTGGCACAGAAATCCGAAGGTGACTCGGAATGGCAAAAGATAACATTCAAAACCTGAACAAAATATTAAGAAACGGGAAAATTTAATTAAAAAACAAAGAAATCCTGAATTGTTATGTAATGCTAGTCTTCCTCTGTGCCAGTGAATGCTGGACAATTTTCTCACAGATGAAGGAGACTTTTCAGAGACGCAGTTCTACAGAAGAATATTGAGAATACTGTGGGGGGAGCATATGAGCAACGAAGAAGTTTTAGAAAGAAAAGCGTTGAAAATTCTAGTATTAAGAAACAGGAAATTTTCGTTAGAAACAAAAAAATAAAAACAAAATAAAAACAAAACAGCCCCCCCCCCAAAAAAAACAGTGTGCTGAACTGAATATTTATACTCAACTGTTATGTAATATCAATCTTCCTATATGGTAGTGAATGCTGGACAATACCATAGACACTTAACATCAGAAAGAGAAAGTTGAAATTTCTAGCGCACATATTAAAGAA